TTCCACCTTATAGTTGCCCCTGATGAGGGAGTCGAGGAAGTCGGGGGCTATGGCCCGGAGGAGCAGCAGGTTGCTCATCAGCCGCGTTGGGTAGTAGAGCTCCCGCTGGCGCAGTGCCCCGCTCTTGATGATCTCCAGTGCACACTCCTCCTTTGGTGCTGGTTTATGCCGCACGGCGTGTGAGACCGCTCGCACCGCGTTCTCTGCAGGGACAGGAGGAGCAGTGTCAGATGGAGGGGCTGCTGTGGGCACTTGCTTCCTCCAACAAACCGAGCAGCAGGCCTACTTAGAGTAGTTAAGACTATCATTATAGCAATGGCCTTCCCATTCCTTTCTGCCTCTTGAGTCACCATAGGATGAAAGCCCCACCACCATGGGTTTACTGCAAGGATGGCAGGGTCAAAGCTCTCAGACCGCACTTTAAGGAGCTGGAGTTCTGTTTCTGCAAAGCTCCTGCAGCCTGGGTTCCAACAGTGGTGGCAAAGGAAGGTGCTGAGCATCCTGGGGCTGGAGGGCAGGTCATGGGCTTGGCTTGGCTCTGCCTGGAAATGCATTGTCATGGGGTCCCAGTGGTGCTGAGCTCACCTGTGTCAATGTAGCCCAGGACGCAGAGTGTGAGGGAGACGTTGACCTTTTCCATGATGAATTCCTGTCTCAAGGAGCTGAAAAACCCTTCCAAGGCGAACTTAGTTGCAGTATAGGGAGCAATAAATGGGGTGCCAATTCTACCTGGAACAGAAACACATCAGGGTTTGTGTAGTGGGCAGACCAGGCTGCATGGCTCTCCCTTCTTCCTTCCCTTAAAGTAGCTACAATATTGAGGTTTAGGGAGCTGGAGTTTGCTGTCATGAATGCTTGAGAGAAATAAATACATGCAGGAATGTTTAAATGTTGCATATGGCATGAAGTACCTTCAGTTGTGGGCAGTACTGTTCGTGTTTTCCTGTATGTATTCCCATGTGTAATATGTGGCCATGCAGTGGTGTATCATTGACTTCAGTGCATGAAGGTGATTAGTGGGTGCAAAGAGACTGGCAGAACAGGGCATGGAATATAAACCCCCCCAGGGGCTCAAACTGTGCATCCAGGATAAATCCTATGCTAATCCTGACTCCCAGTGCCCTGTAGCTTTCTGCTATATGGTCCTTATTCTGGCTTTTGAAGAGGAGGTACAGCAGGGATCCCCTGCAGGCAGAGGAAGGGATGTGGGCAGGGAGAGCCTGGCCCCTTGTGTGCTCACCTGCCATGGATGAAACGACAACGATGCTACCATCACTCTCCTTCAGCATGGGAAGGGCAGACACTGTCATTGCCACGTAGCTGAGGAAGTTGATCTCCAGGAGCTTTCGGATGTGCCCAACATCCCCATCAAAGTAGTTGAAGTAGCTGTAACCGATGTGATTTAGGATGAGCATATCGAGGCCGCCTGCAAGCAGAGGGTGTTTGCTGTTAGGAACCAGCATCTCAAAACAAACCAGCTTGTTGGTGGCTGGGATGGTCCCAAAGCACCTACCCCAGGTGGTCTCAGCCTCCTTCACCACCACATCGGGGAACGTGGTATCCTCCATAGAGCCGCTCACATAGCGGGCAGAGGCAGCACCCAGCTCCAGGCACCGCCTCACTACCTGCAGTGACAGTGAGAACAGTGGTGGCAATGGACTCCCTTCCACAGACCCCCTATCCCACTGGCAATGGAATCCCCTCCAAGGACCACCCCATCCCATGAAGGCTGTTCTGCTTTGGGGTGGATGGGCAGCCGTCACCCTGTCCCACTGGAAGCCCTTCTGCCTTTATGGGAGGAGACACATTGCTCAGAGAAATGTTTCTGGCTGCAGAGTCAATAGTACAAATATTTCATATTTATAAATAGGAATATGATTGCTCAACTTTGATTTGTTGTATACAGGATGCAAAACCAGCTCAGACTTTGAGGAAGGGCAAAGGTTGATCAGACCAGGCCCTGGGCAGATTAGTGGTGATGATCAGAATTCACAGCTGAAGACTGCAGAGAAAGGAGTGCTGTGCTTTCAGCTTTGACCACACAATTTGTTGTGGTAGGGGTGTCTGTGTGTTGGAACAGGCTCATGCTGGGGAGACACTGGACTGGATCTGTGGGCTGTATGGCATCCCCACATGCATGGATAGGGTGGATATCTGTGTGCCTGTGGGGTTCAGGGTTGTGAATGGGGTTTGCCAGCCCGACACAAGCTCTGCTTGCCATTTACTTTCTTCAGCTTGGATTCCGTGCGCGCCGTGAGCAGGAGGTGGGCCTCCATGCGTGCGAGGTGATAAGCCATCTGCTCCCCGATGCCGCTGCTGGCTCCGGTCACGATCACCCGCTTCCCACGGAGCATCTCTGGAGAGGAGGATGCAGAGCTCGGAGCTGGCACAGCCCAATTGTTCCCCCCCCCCACCACCCCTGGTTGTTAATCCCAGTTTGGTGGGGAGCATGTGTGAGGCTTGAGCTCTGCATCCAGCCTGGGCAGGCTTCTGGACATGGCAAGGGTTGACAAAAAGAGTGGGAAACTGCATGTTTCCTAAGGAAATACTTTCCTGAGATCAGGTTGCTGTTGTGGTTTAAGCCCAGCCCAGGTAGCTCAGCACCATGCAGCCATTTGCACGCTTTTCACCTCTCCAGGCAGGATGGGGAGGAGAACCATGAGAATGTAAACCCCATGGGTTTAAGTAAGAGCATAACAACTGAAGTGTAATACACTACTACTACTAAGGGAAGTACCAAGGGGGGAGAATATAAAACTCAAAGGGGGAAAGGAAAAATATCCCAAGTGATGCACAGCGCAATTGCTCAGCACCCACTGACCAATGCCCAGCCTGACCTGAGTGGTTTCTTTTGGGTACATCCCCCCAGTTTCTATACTGGGCATGATGTGCTGTGGCATGGAATACCCACTGGTGCAGCTCAGGTCCGGTGTCCTGTCTCTGCTCCCTCCCAGCTTCTTGTGCCCCTCCTCACTGGCAGAGCACAAGAGGCTGAGAAGTCCTTGATCAGAGTAAGCAGTACTGAGTAACAACTAAAACGTTGTCGCACTATCAGCACTGTTTCCACACTAAAGCCAAAACACGGCACTGCACCAGCTACTGGGAAGGAGAAAAATAACTTAGAGCTGAAACCAGAATCGTGGAATCCTAGAATAGTTTGGGTTGGAAAGCACCTTAAAACCATCCAGTACTGACCTCCTGCTGTGGGCAGGGACATCTCACCCTAGGCTGTGTCACCCAAGACTCTGTCCAGCCCGGCATGGAGCATTTACTGACAACCATGCACCCCAGCAGACCCACTTGTAATTCCAGGAGCTTTCCTGTGTGGTGCAGTGCTCTGACCCCCTGCTCTGGGTGTTAACTGTGCTCCTCTCCCAGCCTTCAGCCCTCCCATGCTCCAGCTTTTCCTGTGTGTGCTTTGGAATGCCCCTCCAACAGCCTGTGCTCTTCCATGTGGGCACATGTTGCTGCTCTGGCAGCAGCCTCCCTGGTTGTGGGTTTAAATGTGTTTTTCCGATGACTTACCTTCATTGAAGTTCTCGGGAGCTGAATAAAAATAGTAGGCCAGCACGAGCCCCAGCAAAGGGATCAGAATCTTCAGGATCAGACCCATCCCTCTGCAGAAGTACAGGCAGGAGCAGGACAAGCTCCAGAGCTCTGCCTGCAGGGAGGTGGATGCGTCAGGAGGTTGCAAACGAGGCGGGGAGTGATGGCAGTGTTCAACTGGTTCTGACCTTGCACACGTTTTTGCTTGTTATCTTCTGGGCCCTCCTTTTTGCTTCCGGTGATTCAGCAAACATTAAACTAATGGGAAGCATTGCTTTGGACTTCAGGCTGTCCCTTTGCACCCTTATCCTGCCAGGAATGATAGAATGGTTTGGATTGGAAGGGACCTTAAAGCTTCTCCAGTTCCAACCCCTGCCACTGGAGCAGCTTGCTCCAAGCCCCTGTGTCCAACCTGGCCTTGAACACTGCCAGGGATGGGGCAGCCACAGCTTCTCTGGGCACCCTGTGCCAGCGCCTCAGCACCCTCACAGGGAAGAGCTTCTGCCTAAGAGCTCAGCTCAGTCTCCCCTCGGGCAGGTTCAAGCCATTCCCCTTGGCCTGTCCCTACAGGCCCTTGTCCCAAGCCCCTCTCCAGGTTCCCTGCAGCCCCTTTAGGCACTGGGGCTGCTCTAAGGTCTCCCCTTCAGGAGCCTTCTCTTTTCCAGGCTGCCCCAGCCCAGCTCTCTCAGCCTGGCTCCAGAGCAGAGCTGCTCCAGCCCTCGCAGCATCTCCATGGCCTCCTCTGGACTTGCTCCAGTCCAGACTTTTAAAGGGCAAAATCTGCTCTACACGTGCTGGTTTGTGTAGGTGATCTCAGGATAACCTGCACAGTAACTCTGGTTCCTGAGTTTGTCTTAGAAAGTAAGAAGCAAACAGATGCTGGGGAGTGCTTCAATGGGACAGGTTTGGGGAGGCTGCGCACTGCTTTATCTCAGGATAGGTAATGGTTGGTGCTTGGGCGGCTGGATCCATTTGAGATGTAAATGCATCAGCTTGGGCACTGGAGGTGGTGTAGAGCCCACTTGGGCCGTGGGTTTTGCACTCCCTGTGCATCACTCATGGTGCCTGAGTTCTTAGCCTGGGGTGTCAGTGTAGCAGCTCCATGCATCTAGAAGGCATCTTTCAGTTATAATGTTTGTGTAATAATCTACTGAGTTTGGGAAGTTTGATTTGGGTAGCAGAGTGCATTTAATTTGGGCGTAAAGCCAGCAAAAAATAGGCTGAAAGGTAGTTAATTCCGAAAATGAAGCAGTGAGGGATTATCACAAGGACTCTGCTTCCCTGTGGAAGGCGAGTCGGGGGCATCATGGTGGAGAAGAAGGGATAAACCCCGCAGCGAACGCGCAGTTGGGTTAGAGACTTTTATTTCATAACTAGCTTGTTCCCATGCTTCCCTCATCCGGGAATACCGGAGGGGGAACCCCCCGCATCTCCGACGCGCGGCAGAACCCGTGTCCGCCGGTAGAGGAGGGTGTTGCACCGGGGATCCTGAGCTACCGGTTAACCGAGCCCGCAGCTCCGTTAGCGGGGGTCGGGTGGCGGCGCTGGCCGGTGCCCATGCGGTCCAGCCGGTACCGGCTGCGCACCAGGCGGTCCAGCAGCTCGGCGGCGCAGTCGCGCAGCAGCAGCGGGAGCCGGGTCGAGCCGTACCGGTAATAGAGCTCCCTCCGCCGCAGCGCTCCCCCCTTGAGGATCTCCAGCGCGCATTCGGCCCGCGGTGCCGGGGGCACGAGCAGCACATCCGCGGCGGCCTGCACCGCGCGGTCTGCGGGAGGGGGAACGGCAGCATCACTGCTGGGTACCGGAACGGACACCTCCGGTTCAGGGTTCAGCCCGGGGAGAGCGAGCATTGGGACCGAGGGGCCCGTCCCGGTAACGGGAAGCGGGCAAAGAAGGGCTTGTAAAAAAACGTGGACCTGTTGGTCTGCACGTGGAAACAGTAAATGCATGAGATTGGGCTCCCCTCTGCTGCGTGCAGAGCTTGCTTTCCCACCCGCTGTTACATCACTGAATGGCGTTAATGGGAGGTGGGTGGCACAGGGAATAACAGAGTGATTTGAGTTGGAAGGGATCTTAAAGCTTATCCAACTCCAACCCCCTGCCACAGGCAGAGGCGCCTTCCACTAGAGCAGGTTGCTCCAAGGCCCATCCAACCTTGCCTTGAACACTTGCACCAACTGAATTGCAGGTTGTAGTAGTGGCAGGCTTTACATAGCATGGGGCAAGAGGCAAAAACCCCCAGTAAGGTTGGGTTTTGGGGGGAGAGAGAGGTAGACTCACACACACACCAGGAGCGGTGTGTTTTGCTTGCCCTAGAGAAGAAGCAGCAGCAGTTAAAGGGGAGAAGCAGTAGCAGAGGGAGTTGAAGGGCAGGATGAGAAGCTGAGGTGATGCTCAGCACCTGGATCAAACAGCACTATCTTACCAGTGTCGATGAAGCCAAGGATGCAGAGAGTGATGGAAACATTAATGTTCTGAATATGGAATTCCTGCCTCAGGGAGCTGAAAAATCCATCCAAGGCAAACTTAGTTGCAGAGTAGGGGACCGTAAAAGGAAACCCAACTTTACCTGGAGACAGAGTGAAGGTCTGTTATAGCACAGAAAGCTGCTCTGCCTGAACCTCTCCTTTGTTCTTCATCAGATAAACTCCCTTTTGGGTAAAATCCAAGACTGGTTTGTACTGAAAGGGGATTGAAAGCTCCTCCAGCTCCTATCCCCTACCACAGGCAGGGACCCCTTCCACTGGAGCAGCTTGCTCCAAGCCCCTGTGTCCAACCTGCCCTTGAGCACTGCCAGGGATGGGGCAGCCACAGCTTCTCTGGGCACCCTGTGCCAGCGCCTCAGCACCCTCACAGGGAAGAGCTTCTGCCTAAGAGCTCAGCTCAGTCTCCCCTCGGGCAGGTTCAAGCCATTCCCCTTGCCCTGTCCCTACATCCCTTGTCCCAAGCCCCTCTCCAGGTTTCCTGCAGCCCCTTTAGGCACTGGAGCTGCTCTAAGGTCTCCCCTTCAGGAGCCTTCTCTTCTCCAGGCTGCCCCAGCCCAGCTCTCTCAGCCTGGCTCCAGAGCAGAGCTGCTCCAGCCCTTGCAGCATCTCTGTGGCTTCCTCTGAACTCTTTAGAAGCATACTTTACTGTTAGTAACGTGTCATCCTGGCACGTGAACAGCAGTGTTAATATTCCCACCGGCTTCCAGCTCTTTTAAGGTCTTAAGGCCAAGGCTCATGTCTCTACTCAGGGTATGGGTGACCCGCAGTAACTATGAAACCCTCAGGGGGGAGAGATGGAGCAAAGCTTAAACTCTGGATGCTGAGCTGATCAGAGGACAAACCACCATACGGGCTGGGAGGGGGGACATCTGTTAGCAATTTAGTTTCCTGACTTAACAGAAATCTATTAAACAGAATCATGTTTTGTGAATAGAGTCAGTCAACAACTCCCTCCACAAATATTAGCAGGAACTTGACCTACCAAACCAGATGGACACGCAGCGAACTGATGCAGTGCGAAATCACTGTGTTTCCGCTTTCCTCCCCCAAAACTGGGGGTGTTTGAGCTCTGCTGCTCTAATGGCCCTGACACCAGGATGTGGGATTTAATTATAGGGCTTGTCAAAAAGCACACTGGGGTGATTTTATTGTATCAGAGAACAAATTCCATTGAGAAAATGCAAAAGAGATAGGGGTTTAGGTTGTGTGTGTGGGTGTTTGGGTGTGTTAAGCAGTTATGGCTCCTTTAGAATGCCTGGGACTCTGCTTGCTATGTGTGAAAATCAGCCCACGGTGTCTTTTGACTGCATCCCATGTCACTTACCTCACTTCCCACTTACCTGCCATGGATGAGACCACCACGATGCTGCCCTCACTCTCCTTCAGCATGGGCAGGGCTGAAACTGTCATTGCCACGTAGCTGAGGAAGTTGATTTCCAGGAGCTTTCGGACGTGCCCAACATCTCCATCGAAATAGCCAAAGTACGATGTGCCCACGTGGTTAAGAATCAGCATGTCCAGGCCCCCTGTGAGCAGAGGAACAAGCGTGAGTGCTGGGTGGGAGAGGGCTGCAACCATAAACCAGAGCCTTTCCTGGGAGCAGAGTGAATGTAATCAAAAGAAATCAGGTTTTTGGGTCGGAGCTGTGGCCTCTCGTCTCTAGAGCAGGGGTTCAGCCCAGATGGTGGCTGCTAGTAAGTATTTTATTGTGATTTGGGGTTTTGTTGGTTCAAGACACAAGTGCCTTGGAGTAGGGGGTCACCCTGGAGGTGCCTGTGGGCCCGGGGAGGAGGAGTGCTCCACACAGAGCTGAAATACTGCGTTTCCACAGCCGTGACCTATGACCGCAATAGCAGGGCTGCTGTGGGCCTGATGGTTTCAGAACCCAGTGCCTGGGGGTGATGAAATCCAGGGCTGTGGTACTGGAACAGGATGTCACGAGGGCACCGAGCTGAAATTGAGAGCGCAGTTCAGTTTGAGTGATGAAGCCAGGTCTGAAAGGGGCAGAATTAAGGGGAAAAACTCCCTCCTGTCTCACCCATCTCTATCTCACCCACTTCTTTTAGCAGACACGTGGCAGAAAGGCACATGTCTGAGGTGAGATGCAATGTTCCACTGTCACTGAACGTACCCAGTGAGGTCTGTGCCTCCTTCACCACGTGCTCAGCAAAGGCCATGTCCTCCATGGTGCCGCTGATGTACTGTGCTGATGCTGCTCCCAGCTCACGGCACCGCTCCACAACCTGTCGCACCAACAGCATGCATCAGAAACCGCTGCCCTGCCCCAGGGAACCTGGTGTGGTAGTAAAAGAGGGTGTCTGCGTTCCTTGGGATGTGGTTTGGAGTGTTGGGAGCTTCAAAGGGAGCCTGAAAACAGATTCCTTTGGTGAATGCGTTACCCAAGGCAGTCTGGCTCTTTATGGGTGCTGGAATTGCATGTGTGTAGGTGAGCAGGAGATTGTATATCACTGCCATGGAATGAGGGTGTGTGTGTGCTGAGAGAGCCTGTGTGTATGGGCCTATGTGTACATAACTAAGCAAGTTCAAATATCATAGTATGTGCTATGCAGAGTGCATGTGTCTGCAAAAGAGGGATTTCTGTGCAGGCAGGAGCCCCAGGCAGCATGAGGATGTGTAGCCATGAATGTGACTGTGCCTATTGTGCCATGGCGAGTACACAGGCATATGTTCGTGTATGTACCTGTGATGCAAGATTGGCCTTCACATGTTAGTGTGTGCACTGCCATGAAAATGCATGTATGAGTGCTCAGCTTGCCATTTACTTTCTGTAGCTTGCTCTCTGTCCGTGCTGTGATCAGAATGTGGGATCCCATCCGTGCCAGGTGATACGCCATCTCCTCTCCAATTCCGGTGCTCGCTCCGGTGACAATCACCCGCTTCCCTTTCAGCATCTCTGTGGACCAAGGCACAGGGATTTAACTTACCAAATGCTATTTAGAAAAGATATACATTAAAACCTCCCCTAACACCTTTCAGAGTGAGTAAACTGGAAGCTCAGTGAGCCTGTGAGTGCAAAGGGTCTAGCACCAGGGCATCTTTTCCATCTGCTGGAGAAAGCAGCTCCTCACTGCCTGCAGTGACTTGGGGACCCTCACCTTTTTCCACAGGTCAGGACACAGCTTATCACCACCCTGACTATTTTGCAGTGGAAATCACCCACAAAGTGCAGGCTTCAGAACTCAGAATCCAACATTTAAAGTCATGCTTGTAAATTCTTGTGCTATACAATGGAAAATCGAGTGTCCAGAGCCCTCTTCTCACACCCGCTGCCTCACCTGCTCCCTCAGGCAGCGTTTCTGCATAGTCCATGCTCATCTTGATCTAATATCTGTTAAAACAACTTGCCAGTATCAGCCACCACACAAAGGCTCAGACATGCTTTGGTCCAAGCTCTGTTACGATTTCTATGCAAAACACTCAAATGTGGCTTTAAACAGTTTTCCTTAAAGATAGATTCACTTTTAATACTTACCCGGTTTGAAAGTCTCCCTCGCAGAATAAAACCAGAAGGCCAAAACCAGTCCCAAAAAGGGAATGAGAATCTTTTGCAACCGACCCATCCCACTGTGGAGCCAGGAAATAAAGCATGAAGAGAGAAGGGAAGGAAAAGTCCCTCTGCTGAGCTGCTGCAGAGGGAAACAGCGATGCCAGTCCTTTAAAACCTGTTAGTGAAGGAGCTGCAACTTCCAAAGCACTGGAAAAGCCACGGCTGGCTGGCTGAGTGAAGCAAACCCTTGGGTTTGGGTGGCAGAGCCTCGGCCTAGCCGGCGGTGCCGGTTGGGTTCTGCCCGGCTCTTTTCATATTTCCTGTCCTCCGTTAAAATGCAGAATTTTGCACAACACCCTGAAGAGGTGTGTCTTTGCCGAGCAGCATCAAGTTTCACTTGGAGAACATCAGAGGCAGCCCCGGTGCAGGTGGTTAAACAGCGCCTTTTATTCCCGCTGGCATCTCAGCTGGGCACATGGGAGATGCGGGTCAGGTACCGGTGGCCGCTGTGCTGCGGGAGGACAGCCAGCACCATCTGCAGCAAAGGTCCTGTGCTGTGACCACAGCTTGGTTTGGGTTGGAAAGGTCCTTAACTCATCCAGCTCCAACCGCTGCCACGGGCAGGGACCCCTTCCACTGGAGCAGCTTGCTCCAAGCCCCTGTGTCCAACCTGGCCTTGAGCACTGCCAGGGATGGGGCAGCCACAGCTTCTCTGGGCACCCTGTGCCAGCGCCTCAGCGCCCTCACAGGGAAGAGCTTCTTTATATCCAACCTAAATCTCCCCTGCTTAAGTTTAAACCCATTCCCCATTACCCTGTCACTCTGGTTCCTGATGAAGAGTCTCTTCAGCATCCTTGTAAGACCCCTTCAGACACTGGAAGCTGCTCTGCGGTCTCCACGCAGCTTCTCTTTGGGCTGAACAGCCCCAGTGTTCTCAGCCTGTCTTCATACAGGAGGTGCTCGAGCCCCTGATCATCCTCGTGGCCTCTGGACTTGCTCCATCAGCTCTATGTCATTACGTTGGAGACACCAGAACAGCATTGCTGTTCTGCACCCTGAAGCTGGGGAGCAGGGACCTAGCAGCGTGTACCATTGCCAAACAGCTCCAAAACCACTTTGCTGAGACAGGTGATGGAGAAGGGGCTGAGCTGAGCCCATCACCAGGGATGCAGCCACCCAGGCTCTGAAGGGGCCATTGAGGCGCAGGGAGGTTTGGAGTGAAATCCTGGCTTCTGATTTCTACTGCTGCTGTGGTTCCTGCTCTGAGTTTTGTAAGAGCTTTTTACTTACTTCTAAGTGACTATATTCTGAGGAAACACCATGTAACATCTGCTCGCTCCCCTAGTCTTTGCAGCAGCTCGTTCAATGCCATCGGTCTTATGCAATAGGTGCGCATGATGTGCAAGCTTTGGTCTGGTGCTGGGATCTTGATCCTAGAGTACAAGTACCTGCAATGTGTATGCAATGGGGATGCTGAGGTGGATTTGTGTATTCCTGAAGCTGTCCTGTGAGAGCCTCTGCTTTCTTGGTTAGGGGAAAGCATACCTGTTGAGACCAGAGCCTCATCTGCAGTGTAGGGGCTGCACCGTGGTCTGATTTATGTAGGCACAGTGCTGCAGTTGTCCCTCTTGGACCCCTCTGCCTTAACCAGCCAGAGGAATTATTCAAAGACATCTTTTTCCTCTGTTGCAGCTTTCAAAGAAAGATGAGTTAAATTGGTAGCTTACCTGGTAGGGCAGTGGGGCTCTCTAGCATTGCTTCTGCTTTATAGATCATTATTTCCTTTTCTGCCTTTCAACTTCATTCTCAACTGAGAAGCTCTCACCCCAGCTTGGGCAAATAACACCAGTATGGTCGCTCTGCTGCTTCCTGACTCCCTTTGCTTTCAATTTGGGTTGTGGTCATGGGACAACCATTTTGTTCCTTGGCTTGAAAAGCAGAATGCACTTACCTCAGCTGTGATCTTGTCTGTGTTGTCGGCACGGAGGGAGACCCCTTCCAGGTATTGTTTATTACTGGAGTTGGGATACTGCAGTAAAGCAATAACTGACAACCTTTGTGCACTGTCTGCAAGCGTGTGGGGAAGGTATCATGCTCCTTGCTCTGCATCAGCACGGGGAGACGTGGGCCTGGAGGCAGTCTGCTGGGTACGGAGCCAAATGCTTCTCTTGCCTTGCTGCTGTGTTGCTTAATGAGACTTGTGGGTTTGGGTTTGGTTTTCATGCAAGACAAAGTAGCTGATAATGACTGAAATACTGCATGTTTTGGGCACACACTTTTTATAGCACCAGTTTTGCGTGTGCCACTTAGGGTGTCCCGTGTGGAAATGAAGCGTGGGGATGCTGGCGTGGTCCCCATCGGGGCTGGGGACCGTGCTGCAGGCTCTGGCCACCCTTGGCTGCTGCGTGGGTTTGCTCTTGGCCGCTGTCGCCCTTGCAGGGTGCTGCTGCTCCTCACTCCCACTCGCAGCTTTTTCTGGGTTTGTTTTGCTTTCTGCAACGTAAGAGCTTGTTTTTGAGTGGTTTTAACCTCCTCTGGGGGTGGGGAGCGACGGGAGGGAGAGCAGGGCAGGAAGAGGAGACTATGGAGAAGTGTTTTCCCGTCTCAGCTGGTGCTGGCCCTGTGCTGCCAAACATTAGTGCCTTGGCAGAGGGAGCCCAGTGGCATGTCCGGCTCCAGCCCTGTGAGTGGGAGCACTGGGAGCAAGGGGGAGATGCCTGTTGCTTCTGAAACTGCTTTACCCAGATTATGAAGGATGTATCATCCCCCCCCCCACTGGAAGTCATTTCTGCATCGCTCGCCTCTTTGAAGCGTGTTTCTCAAGGGGGTGATGCTCGGCGTTGCTCCAACCGCTCTGCACAGGGGAAGCTCTTCATTTAGTGCCGCCTGGAGGAAACGCAGGGATGAAGGAAACTTGTCCTGACAGCAAGCTGGCAGAGCACAGGAGGGAGCTGCGGGAGAGCCCCCGCTGTGCCCACAGCCCCGTGCTGCCTGCAGGGAGCACGTTCCAGGGCAGGGCTGTGGCTCCAACAGGCTTCTGCACGCAGCTCGGGGACTTGGAGCCCTTGGCAGGGGTTGGGATACCACTTCTGTCGTTCTCTTTTGAGTGATACTTGGTTCTTTCAGCTCATTATCAAATCCTTGTTAATGCAGAGGATTCCCCATCCTCCGCTTGCTTAAATACTTAAACAGTATTTTGCTTAGCCAGCTTTCCCAGCATAATTTACCATGAACACCATAATCCCTTTCTTTGCCGTGTGGAAACCTCAGAGCAGCCTTCTGTCTGAAGGGGGCTCTTCATCAGGGACTGTAGCAATAGGACAAGAGGGAATGGGTTCAAACTTCATCAGGGGAGATCTAGGTTGGATATAAGGCAGAAGCTCTTCCCTGTGAGGGTGCTGAGGCACTGGCACAGGGTGCCCAGAGAAGCTGTGGCTGCCCCATCCCTGGCAGTGCTCAAGGCCAGGTTGGACACAGGGGCTTGGAGCAAGCTGCTCCAGTGGAAGGGGTCCCTGCCCATGGCAGGGGTTGGAGCTGGATGAGCTTTAAGCTCCCTTCCAACCCAAACCAGGCTGGGATTCTTACAGGTAGGAATATCACCGTTACCAAGCGCTGCCCTCTGTTTCACTCGCATTAGGCTGATGTGCATGTCAACATAATGCTGTTGAGCCATGACAGATGCGTGTGTGTTTTGGCACAGCCACGTGCTGCCGTGTCCCGCAGGCAGTGCTGACTTCCTGCAAGCACCATCGCTGTCACGGCTCTGCTGCTCCTGGAAAACGCACTCTCAGGTCCTAGGATTGATGCCTCTGTGGCTGGGTTTGGGTTGACACGACACTGCTTCTTACTGCTGGTGTAGGTAAAGTACTGTCGTGTTCAGGTCATTTCTAAGCACTAAATCATTGGGGGTTTCGCAACCAGTGTGACCAAATCAGGAATTGCTGCCTTGATGTGCGGTTGTTGGTACTGTGGCTGCTTTGGGTCTTGGCTGCTGCCCATGTTCCCAGTCCCCTTGGTGTTGGGTGGCAGAGGCTGATATACGTATCTGGGCCCCTAAATTTAGCCTGGCAGCTCTTGAAATACCCAGGGTGCAAACTGCAGATAGCAAGTGAGAGCTCTCCTAAGGTACTTGGTTCGTGCCTTTGGAGCAATTGGCCTGTGAGGGAGGGCTGGCCTCTTGGGTGGCCTTCAGCTTCAGGTGATGAAAGCCTGGACAGCAGTTCCAGGCTGAAATAGGATCTTTGAAGAGGTGCTGCAGGATGGGTACAAGTACTCAACACGTTTCACACCAGCTGCAGTTCCCCTGAGGATTTAATGCACCAGAAGTCACGGGATAAACCAGATTCAGACAAGCCTTAAAGAGAACAAACAGAAATCAACCTCATGCAAGCTCAGCAATGAAGCTCACACTTTGGGCAACATGGGGCTCTCCTCAAGAGCTAATCCTTCAGGACTTTGGTTTAACTTAGCCTTAAATGCTCCTTATGCTTTATGTAGTTTGCCTGATGCGTCCTTACTAGTACTGACTGTTCATCTGGTTGGTATATCCCAGGCCTTAAAGTTTGTCTTAATTCACACAGGGACTTTTGGGATGACTTTGCCGTGCTCTGCTGTGTGTGGATGCCGTTTGCTGGCTGCGTTTGTGCCAGTTGTACTGGCCAGGATTTGGTGGGGGAATATTGCTGTGAGGGAGGACTGGGAGGTGGAGCTGGGAAACAGGCTGGTTTGGAAAGCCGTGCTGTGGTTTAAAGGCAGGGAAGTTTGCTGAAGCCTTTTAATCTAACCCATCTGGCAGGTCTGTTGTTCATCACAGCTGAAGTGGTGTTGAATGGATTACTAAACCTCCATGCACACTGAATTTATCGTTGTGGCTGAAAGATGGTCATTGTGGTAAAATGAGCCATGAATACGTGTTTGAATCACCACTCTGCAGGGAGCCTGACCTGCCTTATGTTAGCACAATCCTCTGTGGAACTGGGAACGCATAGGCTTGACCCCTTGGGCTCCCCTTTCAGGGTAATATGTGGGCAGTAACAACCTCTGAACTTGTAGTACGTCAGGAGGCAGGAGATTGGCTTCTGCAGGACATGGCTTCACCAAGGTGGCTCCAGAACTGCCGGTGCAGTGTGGTGATTTAGCTGTTTAATCCCATTAGCTGTCTTAGGAGGAGCTATTTTGATTGCTCCACAAACCTCTTTGCTTTAAGCTCCTAAACCCTGCGGCTGGATCGCTGTGAAGAGGGGATGTGGGCAGCAGGACACAAGCGTGATGAGAGGAGGCCATGTGTGTGCTGGGAATCTTCATAGAATCACAACCTGGTTTGGGTTGGAAGGAATCTGAAAGCACATCCAGTTCCAACCCCCTGCCAGGGACCCCTTCCACTGGAGCAGCTTGCTCCAAGCCCTGTCCAACCCGGTCTTGAGCACTGCCAGGGGTGGGGCAGCCACAGCTTCTCTGCTCCATCTCCTCATCTTTTAAATTTCCCTATCCTGTAAGGCAGGATGAGACACGTGGAACTGGTGCAGAAGTGCTAATCTTGGGAACCAGTGTGTGATGAACAGTTTGCAGCTACCTTAGGCAAAGATGTGATTCTGATCTCTGTTTAATCTATTTGTGAACTGTTTAGTTCAAGTGTGCCACTGGGAATTGCAGGTCAGCCTTCCCTGTCCCTGAACCTGTGCCACAAACATATAACATGTGGAATTGTGGGGGGAGGATGGTGGATGCTCAACAGTTTATGGCTTTCTTCAGGCCTGAGTTCTTCCATGTCTTCCCATGAAATTTCCATTGGTATCAATGAGGTGTTGGATTGTTCAGCCTTGCTAGAGACCTAAGGCTTGCTTATGGACTGAAAGGTACTTCTCAAAGGCCATTTTTAAGTGGACTCTGTTCTTTTTTGCATGAAGAAAAGGTGCTTTACACTTGATTGAAAGCTTGAGCAGAGTTTTTGTGCAGACCCGGTGGGATTCCTCCTCCAGTCTTCTGTCCCACACATAAAGAGGGATTTTCTGTCACAGCCATGACTGGCAGGGCTATTTCCCTTCCTTCTTTAGCAGTCAGACTCTTTCAGCTCTGGCTCCCTGGGATAACATTCCATAGTCCCTAATGCCAGATTCCTCTTAGGCTCAGGAAAGGGCGCAAGTGCTTTCATGAGGGTGGCAGTGCCCTCAAGCTTGGATCTGTTTCCACAGCCTCCCGCCTGGCTCTGCCATCGTGTCTCTCCATGCTTCACTTTTCCTGTCTGTGACACCTCTCTAACAGTGGAAGCTAACATTACTCTGCACAGTGAGGTGGCTGGGGGGGGGGGGGTTGTGAGGGATCCTGGGAATGAATGATAGTTGAGTTTTAAGGTTTCAAGCTGTGTGGTGGCCGTACCCTGTTAGTGGATTGCTGGGGGATGGACAGGGGTGGGTTCAAACACTTCTGGGCCATGGCAGAGACAAATGTGTGCCATTAAACCCACATAACCCCATGAAATACAACCCCGCCTCCAACCTGGGGTGTGTTTATCTCCTAAGGCAAATGCCACCTTCTCCCACCACCCGAGTTGGACTGTTTTGTAAGGGGAGCAGCTGCTGGAGGTACAGAAATGCCAGCCCATCAGCCCCAGCACAGACTCAGGAGTGGGGTTTATTGTGAGGGTGCAGTCACCACCCTCAACGGTTCCCTGGGCACCCTCAGCTACCCCAGCAGAAGAGCCAGAGGTGCCAGTGACTCCTATTTGCACATCAGAGATGGCTTTGAGAATAAACACAGCTCGAGAGCATTGGTACCATATAAAATATTTATTGATCTTGCAAAATGTTGTAAAATGCATCTGTAATAAAAATAAGAAACCATGCTGTGCATCTTGCACATGTTTATACCAACAAAAGGTATTGTTTCCCCACTGCTGCACAGCAGCAAATATAACCGTTCACTTCTTCCAAGTCTTGCACTTGCGGTCTCCTCCTTCAGCCAACACTTCTCTCTTCTTGCTGGAACCACCACCAGGTACAACGGGACAGCAGAGTCTCTTGTGCTTGGTTGCTCACTGGGCACCCCTCTGGTGCAGGGCTCTTAGGAGGCGTGCTGCCTGGTCACCAGGGCCCTCTGCATCACTCCCGGCTTCTTGCTCTTTCCTAAGATCAGATCCTCCTGTTTGTGGGGAAGCGTTTGCTCTTGCCTCGGGGCAGGTCTCTTCTCCTCCTCTAGCCTCCCTTCAGAGGTGAAAGGACTGCACACTGTCTCCACCAGACCAATGACCACCCCAAAGAAAGCCAGCACACTGCCCAGCATGTACAGCTTGACCATCTTCCTGTTGGGCTTCTGGCTGAGCATTTCTTTGGCAAAGGGAATCAGCTCATGCATGGTTTCCATTTTTCTTTATTGCAGTGGATCTGGACGATGTCAGGTCTACAAAAGAAGGAGAGGGACATTTAAATCCAGCTGCTTTTTCCCTGTAGTGCTGAGAGCTCTCCAAGCAATGCAAGCTTTCCCCAGCTCTGTTTTAAGTTCGGATTTGGGGTTTTTCCTAGAGGCTCACTCCACGAAAACACATCCACCCATGCCCCCCCCCGTCCCGGCTGGGCAGACCCTTCCCATCCAGCCAGACCCCCTCCATTCTTCGCCCAGCATCCCCTGGTACCCCACATCTCATCCCACCGCATCTCCTTACCCAGCGGCGGCAGCTGCGGGGCGGGGAAGGTTGCGGGCTGGCGGGGCTGGGCTCGGCTCGGCTCGGCTGCGCTCGGCTCGGCTCGGCTCCGCCCGGCTCGGCTCGGCTCCGCTCGGCAGCTGCTCCCCGCCGCTCGCCGCTGCTGCCTTATATCGCCGCCGGGGCGGGCGGGCGGGACCAAGGCGGAGCCCCGGAGAGGGGGAGGCGGGGTGCCCCGAGCACGCGGCCAGCACGAGCCGCTTCCCCCCCCACCGGCTTGGCAGCTCCCGGCCCTGATCCCGCCAGGCTAAAAAAAACCTCTCTTTTTTTTCCTTTAAGTTTTCCGTTTTATAGAACGCCCTGGCGCCCTTCGCCCCCCCCCCGCTGCCTGCTTCCAGAGCCAGGGATCTTATGGATGCTTTTCCACGCTGCTCCTGTAAGGAACGCTGAATGTGTTACAGGAGCTTTGCGGAGCTGGTACTCAGAGGTGAGAGTCTGCGACCACAGCGTGTAAAATACGCGAGTGCCTGAGTCCAGGGCTTGGATCTGCGCATGGTCTGGTTTAAGGTTTGGGTTTGTGCGCGGTCGGCTCCGGCACAGCAGGGAAGTGGGTAAAAACGTGCCCTGGTGAAGCATAACAGAGGCATTGGCGGTGAAGCACCCAACTGATTACCCTAGAGAAGGTATGAACAAAGGCATTGCTCAGGACAAGGTGCAGAGATGTTTGTTAAAGGTTTCTATGAGTTCATGGCAAGGAGAGCTGTTAGAAATGGGTAGGCACAATGTGTGACAGCACCTTGATGTCTCAGAAATAAAAGAGTAGCTGGGAATGCATAGAATCACATCCTGGTTTGGGCTGGAAGGGACCTTAAAGCTCACCCAGCTCCAACCCCCTGCCATGGGCAGGGACATCTTCCACTAGGCCAGGTTGCTCCAAGCCCCATCCAGCTTGGCCATGAGCACTGGCAGGGATGGGGCATCCAATTCCTAAGCTAGTGAAGGTAACAGGCAACCTGTTAAAATCCCACTTTTCACTTTTCCTGCATTTGATGGGGAAACTTTGTAACCCCCACTGTGTCACTCCTTGTGATTCATCTGAAGGATGGAGTATTTCCATTTTGGGGAAAAACCAAAGGCTGCACTATCACATTTCTTCGCTGCCTGAGCTCATTGCATCACTAGCACACTGCAGGTTGCATCATTTGCAGCCACCCGTGGCTCCATCCATGCACATACACTGCTCTGGCTGGAAGAACCAGAATGCATGTGGAAACTACTAAAGCCACGAAGAAGTTGCTGAGATTTACAGCTTCTGCTTTTGCAGGGCAGATGATGGCATCTGGAAAGATTTCTCATCTGATCTGTGTGGTTGAGATGATGGGAATTGCTCTGCCAGGGCAGTGTATAGTATACAGTGTTGGGCTGATGCAATATCAACGCTTTAAAGGGTGGTGGGTATATAACAGAACCACAGAGTGGTTTGTCTTTGAAGGGACCTTAAAGCTCACCCAGTTCCAGCCCCCTGCCAGGAGCAGGGACACCTTCCACTAGAGCAGCTTGCTCCAAGCCCCTTCCAACCTGGCTCTGTGTGGAAAGAGGTGAAGCGCAGTGGGAGCCTTCCCACTGTAAAGGAGGCTGCTGGTGGCTCCTCGGGCTGGATCTCCAGGAGGGGCATCCAGGGCTGTTTGTACCCCCTGATGTGGTGCAGCCTGAAGCAAGCTGGAGCTGAAGGGAAAGGGGCAGAAGAGGGCTCTGAGGAACTGCTGCATCTCTTTTCTCTTGTGCTGGAGGATCTGCACACCTTTCCTTCCTGAAGGACTGCCCTGCGGGGTTAATCCTACACAAGTTCTGCCCTAAACCACTCAGAAGGGTTGAACTAGATGATCTTTAAGGCCCCTTCCAACCCACAATGTCCTCTGTAATTAAGTGATTCTGGGATGAGTCACCCCTCACTCCTCACATCCCGCACGTCCATCCTTTTTCCCCTCTGCAGCCCATGTGCTGAGCGGGAGATGACTGCAGAGCAGGCAGAGAAAGGCTGCTGCTGAAAACTCGGGCTTTTGGATGTGCTTAGGAAACTGATTGCAAGAGTGGCTGTAAAAGTTGCTAAAGACTCGTCTGGCCCTCCTCAGTGTCTGGGTTTGGGTTTTTTCTATGTTAAATAAAAGGTCCTTATCTTCTCTGCCAACTTGGCAGTAGAGGTTACAGCTGATCCCTGCATTCAGACTGTGTTTTCTCTTCTGCAAGGCTCTGAAAACCGACCATTGCAGAACAACTAGCTGGAGCAGACAGCAATTAGACAGGGGGAGTTCTGGGTCACCATCCCTACAGACAGAGCTGCCTGCATGGCCAGGCTACCAGCGACTTGGGGTGTTAAGATGGGCTGTCTCCTCGCAGCAATGAGCAGTGCTGAGCTGTTGGGGCCCTGCACAAACAGCAGAGAGCAGAGCACAGCCCCAGAAACAAAGGTCAGTGGGAAGTGTTGGAATCGTGACGTTTTGCCTAAAAAAAGGTTGTTGATGGTGGTTTTTCTGGGTTGTTTTTTTGGGTTTTGTCTTGCCTTTTATAACCCTGCTAAACCTTACATTTGGAGGTCTTTTTTCCAACCTTAAGGCTGGGAAAGGTACATTTTACTTGTTAAATACCAATGGAGATGCCCATGCAAAGAGGTGGAGCCATGGGATGAGCACAGAGATGATGCTGAGGGTTAGCCAAACGGCTGATAATCTTCTATGGCAAACACCTCTTACAGCAGCACTCAGATTGTGGTGATTTAACTAAATAACATTTAATTTTGTTTCAAATTTGAGTAACAAAGTCTGTGCAAGTTCCTTGTGTGGACATTTAAATTGGATTAAGAGTGGATAAAAGGATTAATGATTAACACTAAATTAGACTAATTTTAGCTGTTCCTAATCTTATTTAGGAGAGTCTGCACAAGGAGGTTGTCAGGTTTAATTGCAACTTTGATTAAACCCGGCTTTGGAGCTGGGAGAGCTGATGAAGTCAAACGTCATCTGGAGGAAGAGCTCTGCCTGAACTTACCAAGCAGCATAAGCACCTCAGGCTTAACCTAAATATCACGGGCCTGGGGAAGGCCAGGATGTGCATCCGCTTGGAGCAGCTCAGGGAGATGATGCTCTGCATCCCACCTCTGCCTTCACATGTTGCTTTGGAGGCTGCAACTCTGCCCATAGGAACCCACATTTAACTCCTGCTGGGGTGGATCATGCACAGGGATAACCTTGGAATGGGAGCAGTGGGAGCTCTGCCCTTTGCAGGAGTGTTTCCAGCGCTGCAGAAGGGCTGCTGAAGGCTCAGCTCTGATTTCAGCTGTGTCCCTTGGCAGGGGCACAGCTCTGTGATGGCAGATGCCTGCCCTGGGCACGCTGCGGGTGCGTGATGGAAGCTCCAGGGGAGAGCTGATGGGAGGCAACCATGGTGGGAGGATGACACTTGAGTAGGCCCCCGCTTGGAGCACTGTGTGCGGTTCTGGTGTCCCAGCATAAGAACATGGAACTGTTGGAGCAAGTCCAGAGGAGGCCACAAGGGTGATCAGGGGCTGGAGCACCTCCCATACAAAGACAGGCTGAGAACACTGGGGCTGTTGAGGCTGGAGAAGAGAAGCTGTGTGGAGATCTCATGGATCTGTAATGCTTTTGTGCAGAGTTGTGAGTCTGGGGGCCCATCCTGCCCTTGCTGGGAGGCTGCTGCATGCCAAGTGGCAGCTTGGCCTCAGTGGCCACTGGAGATCCCATTCCATTAGCCCAGGCCATGGCTTTGGGTTTTGCAGGGTTGCAGAGAGGAACTTGAGCCAAAAGACTGAGCTGACCTCTGCCTCTTGGTGACAGCTCCCAAACTGTGGCACAGCATCACCTTGGTGGGAGCGCAGCTCAGGTGTAAAGATGTGCTGCCTCATCTTCCACACCCGTGTGTGGCCAAGGGTCAGGGCCTGCTGGACTTTGTCCGTGACAAGCATGAGCTCTGTGATGTGGTCTGGGACGAGAGGCTGTGCTCCCTGCTCCAGCCTGGGGACGGGAGCCAGGATGGGGCAAATCACTTGTACTTTGCCCCGGCAGGATCAAACCACATGTGCTACAAGCCCTGTGTTTTAATTCTAGGAGGTGTGGGGAGGAGCAAGCTGCATCAGGAGCAGAAAGCAGTGTGACTTCCACTGCACTTGTGGTGTTAAGGAGGATAAGTACCCAGGAGGACAATGCAGGTCCTGTGCTGGGGAGGACCAGTCACCCCTGAGGCCTCTGTGTGTGGGGTTTTCAGGATGAGAGTTGGAATTTCATTTGGAATTCCTGAAATGCTTTTAGGAGCAAACATGGCAATTAACAAACCCAGTATTTTAAGTCATGGGCTGGAGTGGGGAGGTGGTTTTGCTGGTCAGCTTTTACTTAAAATGGGAAATGGAAAGATTGGGTGGAAGGAAACATGCTTTAATTCCTGAAATCAGGAATAAAAGTTTACAACATGGGACAGCATTTCTTACCCCTGACTTCTTTCCATGCAGCTTAAGTGCTTCCAGCTCCAGGTCTCATACTGCCTTCCAGGTTTGTGCCCCTTATGTTTCCATGACAAGGTGCACATAGGCTGTCCCTGGCCTAAGGATGGAGAGCATTCGGGTTTCATCCCAGCTCTATGGTTGTACTCATTTAGCATCCTTTTTCCTTAATGGAGGTTTTGTGTTTCAAGAGATTAAGTGTTCTTGCACTCAGTGCTCTGCCCCTGATTTCCACTTCGCTTTCTGCTCCTCTGAGCTCTGGGGAGAGAAGGTAAAAGCTGATTGAGCAGGATCACTGCAGCCTGGTCAGTGCTGATTAACTGGTGTCACACCTCAACAGCTACATGGAAAGCTGCTGCATGAGGAAGGTGTCCTCGGAAAGGGGTAAAGTGCCCCTGACTGAGCCTTTAATCCAAACAAAGCAAATGTCAGATCAGAGGAAGTAAAACAAAGCCACTCACACAGGAGTCACATCCTGCTCAACTCTGGCTGCTCTCACTGGAGCGGGTTTGTTTCCCAGTTCATGTCCCAGCTCCCACTGGGAGCTGCCCGAGGCTGATGAACTCTTGGTGCTTCCTCCACCACATGCATCCTGCTCCATCAGAAACCTCAGAGCCGAGGAAGAGTGCAG